TCGTAGATAGCCGCTCTGTGGAGAATCTCCGATGCTATCGAGAGAGACGGATGTTTGCGAGATCGTTGAAGAAAATCGTCTCGCAATCGTCGAGAACTTAGGAGCAATACCATATAACTGTAATACAGCTGTGAACATTCCTGCACGGGTGGGTACCTACACTAGGCGCGACAATTACGCGAATAGGAAGGGGATCGTTACTTAAGAAGAATAATATTAGGATTCCTTCGGGATTATATCATTTCGATTAAGGGTTTAATGCAAAAATGTGAATCACATCGACGTACGGCAATATAGCAGCTACGATATTAGACGCTAGAACAACTGTTCGAGTTAATCGTAAAGCATTATAACTGACAATGAGTGTGTTTTATGAACGTGTGGGTGCCTATTTTCTCCTTTTCTCTCTCCCTCTCTTTTACTCTCCTTGAAAACGTATATTATATCGCCCAAATATTTTGAACCTACTTGTGAGATGAATCTACATGTGATTTACATCGCGAAATTCTTTATCGTCACGAAACATATCGCGAAACGACGAGTGATTATCGTGTAGTAATAACGTTATCTCTCTCTCTCTCTCTTTTTCTGTCTCTCTTCGATGATGAAGAAATTAATCGTCTTTTTCTAATGCTATTTTTTGTTTGTGAACAGATCCGTGTGAAATGTAGCATATGAGAATACTTAAATAACTTCAAAGACAGCCAGAAATGACTGTAAAGATTTCTCGATAATACATGTTTATTCGAACGATATCACTAATTGCAATCGCAGTTAACTACTTGTATGTGAGTGGGATTCGTTAATATTAGAACACTAGACGAATTATCGTAAGTTGTAAACGCAAGTAGACGAAGAGTAATTTTACCTATTCTGCATTAAAAGACGGTTATAGACTACGTATCATGTGACTACGACACATCATAATTGTAACTTTATATGATAGGCGGGATCAATGAAATTAGGATATTGTACAGATAGGCGTACCGTAGTAAGGAACGTTATCATTGCATTTTTCGGGAATGATGAATGAAATTAAACGGACAGAAAAATCGAGCTGTCCTTCTCTGAAAGCGTTATACATTCGCTTGCAATTTAACATTAATGTGAAAACGTACGGGAATTGTTTAACTTCCGACAAAATGTTCGTAATGAGGTAATAAGTTAACGAGTTCAACCTATCGGAATGTTTTTTTTCTTAAAAATAAAAAAAAAAATAAAAGAAAGCACGAAGAGAAGATAGAAAGTAGCCATAATCAGCGTTTTAAACTTGAAAATTAACAATGAACTCGCCGTATCATTATCTCCATCGTACATACTCGACTCCGATAATTTCTCTTAATCGACTTTTAAGTTCCGCGTATTTATATACCAGATGGATACTATTATAACTTATATGCGACATTTAGCGAATAGGCGCGATGTTACCGTTATATCATTAAAAAATACTATTTATATAAATTAAAATGTACTGCCGCATAAGGAGTAGATGATACGGAGGCATAGCCATATGTAGTTAAAATACGCGTTGAATTTAAACGTAACTGGAATTGCTTCTATATCACCGAGATCAAGATGTCTTAAGGCGAAAAAAAAAAAAAAAAAAAAAAAAAAAAATTACGCCGAGTTTCATTCACATAGGAATCCCAATACCGCGATGGATTGTAACGCAAATTCGAGCGACGTGACGATATCGCCCTGCGATGCGAAAAGGCCGGCCAGATGTATAAAAGCTATCGAATTAGCGACGCATGACTCTTATCGTGAGAAAAATATTGAGCAACCAACGACATCGGAGTGTCAATCAACGACGTATCGGCAAGTCGTCGACGCGAATCATGATTTTCATCGACAGCAAACAGGAGACGATTTTACAGACAACGTAGCGATATCGCAAAATGATGATAAGATGGTCGAATCTGTCAACGAGGGACCTTGCGATGCCGAATCCGCGAAGATACAGAGCTTAGGTAAGAGATTAAAGATGATCATCCGTAAGATGTATCCAGAGGATTGCAGCTGCCCGACACTTTCCGGATCTATCGTCACTCACTTGGTCTTACCTTGCAAGCCGAGCGATTTGATCGGGCGAATTTTCGAGGCCGATCCGTCTTTGACCGAATCTTGCTTTATAGTGATGAAGCGAAAATTCCTAATCAGCGTGCACAACGTCTGCTCGTGTCTCAACGATATTCTCGGTAAATTAGACGTCAAATTCACGAGGACGTTGTATCTCAATTGCGAGATATATCCCGGATATATTCGCTTCAGATTGAAAAGCGGTAATGTCAATAAATGCTTATTCGTCGCCAGGATACCGATATGTCAGAATGTTCGTAGACGTACGATTCTACGGAATTCGGCCATCTCGACTCGCAATTCAAAACTGAGTACGGATGCGAAAGAATCAAGGTGTTGTAAACGATGCAACGATGACGATAACGATACACTCGCGCGTATCGATGAAGAAAGTCAAGAGTTGGATGACACATGCTGTTCATCGAATCGAAACGTAAAAGACACAATAAATATGTCACGATACGAGACTGGAAATGAAAACAAAGAAGCAATTACATGCACGATTACGGAATGTGTTCCGAAGTGTCTTCAAGATCTTACGACCTTCTGCTGTAACAAATCTCGCGAAAACATTGCCGAAGAGATATGTGACGTAACGTCGCACGTTGATAACTCGGAGGAAATAAATAGAAAGTGTCAGAAGATCTCGGATTCGATCGAAATCGATCGTGAAAACAATGCGGAGAATTCAATCACAATGACGAATGACGATGATTCAATTACAATTACGAGATTGATCGACGACGCGAGTTGCGTGTGCTTATCGTCTGAAAATCTCATCGAAACGAACCACGAGACGGAGAATATTTGTAGCAACAGAGATCCGGACGATTTCTCGCAACACGATCGTTCTCGTTCGCCGGATGAAAAATCAAATTTGAGAGAAGATTGCGACATTAATACGTGTAGTATCATGTCATTCGTACAAAATTCCGAGCGCGACAAACAATTGGTGGAATTAAATTGCAATCGTTTCTTGGACCATAATATCAGAGCAATCGATAAACGCTCGGAGGACGATGGCTCGTTAAATTCGGCGAAGACAGAAATTGGACACGACTCGAGCTGTTTCTCGAGTCACGGAGACGATTTTATAGACATCACGGTCGTCGATAATATTTTATCTCAAGACGATCTTGATGCGGCGAAAACTTGGAGCGCGTATTGTTTCAAGCCGAAAGTATCATCCGAGAACAACGATTCTTTGGCGGTTTTCGTTCAAACGCCCAGATTACGAGTGTCATCAAAAGGCATCAGTGTGAACGTGAGTTATCCTCGAGCCGTAATTTGCTTGGCATCCGGTGACGATGGAAGCACATCTACGAAGACACGCGACAGGATCCGCGTGGTGGATCCTTCCGCTCGAATCGTTCCGAGGAAAGGGCATGAAATTCTTCGCAATAAAAGAGTTTCCGATAAAACAAGAGATTTTATTAGACCATCGAGAAAATCTCTCGATATTTCTACGGAAGAATATCTTTGCGCAACATCCAATACGTCGCGATGCTCTCGCTCGACGAGTAAATTTACTACGAGCGACAGGCAAGAAGAATTTGAAAAATCTCACGAGTCCGCAAGACTGTCAAAATTTTGCGTAAGCTCATCGAATAGTTTTCGCAGCGTAACTTCTTTCACTACGATCAAGTATGGAACAGCATCACGTAAAGATAATGATTACTCTGTCAAAGTACGACCGCAAGCGATACTCGTGATGACAAAATTTCGCGAGTCCGTCGACAGATCTGTCGGTAGAATAAAGCGTCTGATTCACGCGAAACTGAGAAAAATATTATTCAACGACGGAAACAAAACGACGAATGCATCGAGAAGCTTTTGGAAGAACGAACAATCCTCCGAAGATACTACGAGAGGGATGACAAGCGGAAGATGCGTCAGACAGGTATATATATACTTCTTGGGAAAAAAAAATAGATGATTCAAAAAGATTTTATTTATATATAAGATTGAACATTTAATCTTTAAGACTATAGTTTAATTTTTAAATTGCCTTTTATCTCTGACGCTTTAAAATAATCTTTAAAACGCTGGAATAATTTTTGTTCCATTTATCTTTTGCAGGGTTACAGCATTACTTCGTGCTCAACTTGTAATTGCTGCAGACAAAGCTGTACTCTTTCATCGTGTGAATCTTCGAACGTGATTCTGTCAATCCGCAAAAATCGATGTAAACAAGGGAGCAAAGGTGAGATGAAGTTTCGCGATCGATTGACCGGTGGCAGCGAGACCTTGTCAACTTTTCGCTCGATCGAAACTACTTACGATTCGTTGACTCCTACAATAGTCAAGGATATGGAAAAATATGTGTTGAGCAGAAGCGATCGATGCAACAAAAAGGAAAAGATCGAGCGAAATATTGTAAAAAGCCGTAATTCTTGCGACTTTAAAAATTATGGGACAAGTATAACAATTTCTTCGCAATCAGCCAAAGCATCCGGAAACAATTCGAAATATCGCGAACGTTACACGTGCAAACAGCGAGAGGAGGCACGTGACGATAAACGTGTCTATGAAGGGATACGTAATCAAGATCGATGGAAGGAGACGCGACGTACATGCGAACGACGTGAAAGGACGCACAGAGAAGTACCGATTAAATATTCTAGCAACGAATCTCTCGGAGCGTCATCGTCGTACACTCGGCGAGGGAGAGTTAAAAATGAGCATAAGCAATTTCGATCTGGCAGATCGAGGGTGAAAAACACGAGGGGATTCGCATCTTCGGGCAAGAATTGGCAGAAGGACGCAGATCGTTCCGTAGACGATGATCGTCTACGTAAGAAACGTGTCTTCGGGATTTTGACCGACATCTGCAACGATTACGCGGATGATCTCGATCTCGACTTCAAGTTACACTTGTTGCGATACGTCGAACTCTGCAGGAGTGTCAAACGCGCATTGATAAAGACGCTGCAATCCAACGACGATTTTTACGAAGTCGACACGATGTCGAGTGCCCGGTGGCGATCTACGGAAAAGTTTGATTGAAGCGATGATTTCGTGTCGACGCGCGATGCTGTAAAATAATATTGTTAATACATCGCGTAATAAAACATTCTCGAGACATTAATAGCGTTTTATAGTCGATGCTAGAGAGAATTGTCTAGAAATCTTGCTGAATATATTTTTCCATGGATCTATGTTTTTGTAAAGATAGAGAAAATAATAATAGTAATAACATTTCTCTTAAATATTCTTTAAATATGCTAGATTTCTAGAGATACGCTATCTCTTATCATTTTTTATTTTTATAAAAGATAAATCTGTGAAGATTACACGGGAAAAAGTGTCTGGATTTGGCGCCGATTGTATTATATTGTTTTTATATCGCGCATATTTCGAACTTGACCGAGATGACAAAATATTGTTCAAGGTCTTGAAATAAAAAAAAAGTTATATCATCGATCGTTTCGCGAACCCCTCAAGATTTTAAACCAAATAAGCGGGATCCTCCTGGCTAGAAAGCGTGGACATTGTAAATAAAAGTCAAGTTCTTGGAACATTTTCTTATTCCGTAAAAGAGACGAAAGAAAATATTCGTTTTGTTCCCCGTTAAAATTGTCGAAGTGCTACAAGCTCGTTGACAAATCAATTCTGCTTTATGAATTAATCTATATTCCCGCAGAGGCGTTCATTGGCACTTCAGGATGATAGTGAAACCCGAGTTATTCAGGACGCACGGCGACGCCGAAAGAGAAGATAAAGTATTATACCAGCCATTGAGAATACAGCATCCCCCCCCCCGATCCCTCTCTGTTTGTAACAATGCAAGTCGGCTACGGAGTTTGGGGGAGAATTCTCTACTATCGATATGGTCATTTCTGAATTTTTAGCATCTTTTCAATTCGTACAATCGGGTGGAATAAAGTAATTAAAATCTACAATGTCACAGAATCATTGATATTTGCTTTAATGCCAGATATTTACACGTGTTTAGAGTTGATAATCTATTTAACAATAAGATTTGATTATTGTATCTAACAGGAAATTTGTATCACTAATACAGTTGTCTTTTTAATTTCGCGACTTTATTGTACGATAATATTGAATGATATGAAATGATTGGAATAATAACGGATGCCGTAGCAATTCCAATTTTAAATTTGACACCAAATTCTTTTATAAAAAATATATTATGTAATTATAACTCAAAACTTCAGTTTACTGAAAAATCTTCACATATTTTTAATCGCTTATAACTCGAGAATTTGATTATAAAAAGTCGATCCCACATTGGTTGTAGAATCTAAAATCAAAATTAAAAATGGGTATTTTTTAGAATATTAATTTTTTAACATAATTAATGTTAAATATAATCTTTATGACTTATCTTACAATCACAGGCATGTCTCAAGCTTTTAGGCAAAGTGTGCAAATATGACACTTTGTTCTCATCCCCTTCTCAAATTAGAAACCAAATCCAACCCTCTAATAGCCCCGCTCGATTATCAGGTCTCTCGGGGGAAGAAGGTTTGAGCACTGAGACTCAAAGTAACACGCGCATGTTATCCTGTTTTAATCCTTAACGCAGTTACGATCGCTTATTTCCGGTGCGTGCCGTTTTGTTGTTGCAAAACTTTCGGCCCGGGGGTGCAGCCGGGAAGCCCCGCCTGGGGTCAATCTAAAGGGGGTTGTAAATGTCGGCGATTGGCTAGTGATATAGATGCGTCGCACCCTGCGATCCAATCGTATCGTCGCTTCGGGATGCGCTGACGCCGTGATGTGGAAGTCAACTTCGTTGCCAGCGACGCCGACGCCGACGCCGTCGCCGCCACCACCGTCGACGGCGGCGACGGCGGCGGCGGCGGCGACGACGACGACGACGACGACGACGACGACGACGAGAACGACGAGGA